AATTTTTTAAAAATATTATTTGCATCTTCCTTTCCTTTCTCTCCCCCAAGAGTTTCACTTTCCCTGTGTCCCATCTTAGATTATGGCAACAAGGATCAGGCAATCAATCATGTGTGCTTTCCTGGGGCACCTGAAAAACTCTCCATGGTGTCTTTAACTACTTCAACAAGTTCAGTTATGCTTTCTGTGCAACACTTAAAAGAAGCAGCACAGGGCTACTGGTCTGGCTGAGTAAAAGTTTTTACAAATGACATCTCTGTATTATTCAAGTTTTACCTGTTCTTGCTGAAGGCCGAATTGTAGGAACAGGTACCGGTAAACCAGGAGGAGGGACTGGGGATCCAGGAGACCACCCCCGGTGACGTTTCTTTGGTGGTCCAGAACTGGACATTGATGCTGAGAAGGAAAGCAAAAACTATTTCTAAATCCCATCCTCCCAAATGACCAGATTCCAGCCCACAATTTCATTTCACATTGCTGTTGAACTGGTATCACGTCACAGAGCACCAGAGGTTAACACCTAGATTTACACAAAGCCACACTATGACGTGAAAAATGTTACCTGTGCTAAAGAGTACAGCATTTTGATTAACAGTCATGTCAAAAACCAAATGGATCTGTAAAGACTGAATTGTAGAAACTGCTACGATAGGAAGAACAACAAAATCATAAATTTCATGCTCAACAGCCAGTGCAGCTTAAAATAAAGGAGCAGAGAGGTTTTCTTCACCTTGGTCTCCAGCTGCACAGCCAGGACTTGGAGATGTCGAGTGAGGCACTGGCCGAGAGACTGTAGAACTCAATACATTATTTCTCCCTCCATTAGCGTTTCCATTAGCAACATCAGCGGCACGCAGTGAAAGAGGAGCTGAGTATAATAAAATACAGAGTGTACGGCTTGAGACAATCTTGAAAACAAACAAACAAAATAGTACAGCCACATGCAGACACAAAAGAACAGAGCAAGATACGTGACTGAAAGAAACATACTCCAGGGGACGCAGGAAGCGTACTTGGCAGAGAATAATTTGGGCACAGGCTACAAAATCCTGACCTTGAAACGGGGTCTCCAGATTTCAAGGTGGGGAGGATACGTGGAAGAAAAAATCCAAAACAAACCCCACCAAAATAAAATACAACATCACACACACACAGAATTATTGGGAAGTTTGTGACACATTTTTTTAGACACTGAAAATTAAAAAAATATGCATATCACGAATTCAGTTTGTAAAGATTTCTAAGCCACTTAGGCGTATCTATGTATTTTTCCCCCAGTCATCCATGTGCCATACACAGTAATTCACTACAGAGCTTTCATCTGAAGCCTTAGCAAAGGAGACTGGGCAGAGAAGACAGGGCAGTTTGCAGTAAAATATACATGATCTGAGCATTATTGAGGCAAAACCTGCTTCATTTTGCTACCTCTGCCTAAGACAATCCTCCAGTCCGAGCAAGCCTGACACCCTGGTAGGGCCCACTATATCCAGATCACAAAATGAAACCACAGCAACAGAGGATCACAAGAAGTTATCCTCACACTTCCAAGCTCCTTCTTATTCTTTTTCAGAGCCTAATTTTTGTAGAAGGAAAAAAAAAAAAGGCATAAACTCATAAACTGCATAGAGTAGACATGGAGCCCAGTGTGGACTACAGCTCCCTGCTGTTATCTGCCAGCTCCACAAGGGTTTAGCTCCCAGGCACAAATTCCAGGAGCAACAGCAGGAGATGGTGCAGCAGCTTGCTGATGCCAGCCGCAACAAAAAGCATCTGAGATGTGGGTGTTTGGTTTAAAACAATGGAACGTGGAACTCTCCAGCTGCAGTCATCCAGATAAATTCAGGCACAAGATTCTCAGGTTGCCAATTGGCAAAATTTGAATATCATCACTTGCCCATTGTAAGCTCCTCATTTGTACTTCGAGTCAACAATTTGATATTGACAGATATGGTGGATGTGGGTCAGTTATGGAAGTGGTTGAAATGGTGGGAAGTAATTTCAGTGCAAGATAAATTCTCTTACGCAAGTATGGGAGGGAAAAGGCTACTTTACACAAGGAACTGTTAATGATTCATTATTGTACATATTATTATGTACAATAACAATATATATTGTATAAAATAGCAGGTAAGTCATGTATAAAACATAATGTTCATGTGCATATATAAACCAAATAAATTTATATTTTTTCTTATTCAAGCATACTTCCCTGTAATAAGTGTGATAATTTCTTTTTCTTTGCTTAAAGGATCACATAAAGTAATAAACAATCAGAGTATCACAACAGAGTACCAGTGAGGGATTTAGATGCCACAGTTGAGGGTTCTAATTTCTTGAACACAGAAATAAATACAGAAATAAAGAATTAAAACAGCACAGATATTAAAACTCCTTTAAATGAGACTAGATTCCATTAAATGTCAGCGGAGGAACTATACCTGTTACAAATGCAGAACAACACACAGCTCACAGTTACTGAGGCAAGAATAAGTGTGGTATCAAGAGGTGAATTTATGCTTTCTTAGATACCTTAGGAAGTGCAAAGAGGGATATAACACGAGACTTTTACCAGAATGTCACATCTGAAAGCCAAGGTGTGGTTCAGTTTGGGGACAGTAATGGCCATGGAAAATTTCTGTGCAGAGGTCTGCGAGAACATGAGAGTTTTGGGGAATGCTAGTGAATGTTTTCCTTTCCTTTTTCCACCAAAAAGGTGACTCCCTTATTTCTTGTCTGTTAAGTTGTTAACTCTCTTGGCTCTCAGCTATCCCGGAAAGCAAAGCCATACCTGCAGCAAATGCCTTTCCTACGAGCTGTACTGACAGAGCCAGCGGTTTCACAATGTTCTTGTTTCGGGATGGGTCTTGAGTTCCACTTAAGTTAACAGCAGAAGATGATTTTGCTGGACTGAATACTGAAGAATCTGAGAAAATAAGTTGTTCATTTAAGTATCTATTTAAAATTATATATATACATGCATGTATGATTTGTATTATATATGCATGAACAGTCATAGAAATTTATCTAAGCTCATCTCTGCATATAATGCAAACAATTTTTTTACACTCCTAAGAAATCATCACATATCGTTATCTTTTAGGAGTTCTAACAAACATTTAACTGGGCGTTTCTATAGAATCTTATAACCTACTGAACCCACAACTGATGTCTTCAACAATATATTGCATTCACATACACTCAAAGAATATTTTAACTGTAGAAAGGGCTATCACATTGCTTCTCAAAATACCCCCGTGGGGTAGGCAAGACTTGCCCCTAGCAAGCATATGGAATAAGCACTGGAATAAGTTGCATAAAAAGGTCGTGGAATCTCCATCACCTGAGATTTTCAAGAATAAGTTACTGAACCTCTGTCAGACACAGCTGAGCTTGACTTAGGGCAGAAAAAAAATACCAAATACACAACCTCCTTACAGCACTATTGTCTATAAGGCTATGAAAAGTGTATGATCATTTATAAGCCTGGGTAAGAAATGATGGGTACCTCTTCACATGAATTAACAAACAACTCCTTACAGCACTTTACCAAGGTGCTGGTATATAAAATATAAACCTTATTTTATAGATAGATAAACTGAAGAACAAATAAATTCCAATATTTGCCCAGTATAAAACTGTAAATTAGAGCTGATTCCAAACCTCTCAGCATTTAGGCCCCTACTTTAACATCAGGCATTTAATATCTGCAATTTACTTTAAGAAAAATGCGACATTTGGATGCTGATACACTGACAAATCTAAATTCTTGTAACTGGACTGAAAGAATATTAGCTCAGCGTCTGTCCAGAAAGCAGTTTGCAACAAGTAGGCAAAGTAGGCTAAGTTCACCTACAGATGTCCTAGTAAAACAGCCGGTAAAGAAAACAGAAGGCAAAGACCAACTTGATCTGCCAAACACGTTTACCCTCAGGCCACACACCATTTGGAAAAGGAGGGTTGGGGGGAGAGTCTGCTTTGCCAGACAGAGTAACTGAGATGGGGAAAGAACACAGAAGCCTCTGCTGCTGCTGCTCCACCAGAAAACCTTGTCCATGTTCACAGGACATATGCTGAACGGCTAAGAAAATAGACCACCAGCTGAGGGGCTTTGGAGGAAAATGCTGGTCTCTCACTAACTATGATGTGGCAAATATGTAGTGTTAAAGCTTTCACCACAGTTAATTGTCCAGAAGCTTTGGGTTTTGTTTGGGTTTTGGTTTTTTGTTTGTTTATTTGTTTGGGGTTTTTCCCCCCCTCTCTCTAGTTCCAATACATTTTCTTGAAATTTTACCCGTGAACGCAGATGTGGCTGGTATATGTTTAAACATCACACTGGTACCTAAGCAGAACTTGTAGTACTACCAGTTATTAAAATTGTTCAATCTTTCTGTTGCAAAACCCTGTTTCTAGTTGCTTAACACCCTTTTAACACCTGAATTGAAGTTTTCCCTCTCATGTGTCTGCCTAAAATTGAATTTTTGATATTGTTCAAGGTTTGAGCCATTTTTCATTGCCAGTCACCTCTCCTTTGCAACAGGACTGCATCTTCCCACGCCGTTTTGATAGTAGGACCTGACACCTGACTGCAATGTCATGGCCACACTGTACTGTCAACTTTAACGACGGCATTTCAAAATTTTCTTGTGCTCTAATTTCTAACATGAAATTACCATTTCAACACAGTACTCCGAGCGTGCCATAACTGTCTACCTACAGGTTATCTTCTAGAACTTGGAGACTGAACTGCTCACTTACAAGGGGAGAAAACAGAAATATTTACACAAGTTTAAAAGGCAAAAATGGGTATGAGTTGACAATAAACTGCGAACAATTTCAGAAAGCAACTTGCTAATAAGTATTCCTATTTTAAAAGAACTGAGAAGTCAACTCAAAGTACGAACAGCTATGCAGAGCCAGGAGAGAAAGTCAGACCTCCATCATAGGTGACACATGTCAGAATTCAGGCCACCAAAAAAAAGTGCTCTCCCCCCTTCTCCTGGTCACAGGGGATTCATATGTATGCATGTGGCATTATCTTCACTAGAAGATAACAGTAGAAGAAGATGAAAAGGTTTTGACAACCATGACCTAAAAGTACAAACACTGACACACAGAAACACCAAGCAGACTGAAAATTGCAGTGAGTGATAAGGAGAAAGCAGTATACAAAGGTGTATCTATTAACTTGGCAGGTACAATAGAAGACAAAGCTGTGCAAATATTGGATCACTTCTTGTTTCAAATAAATAGGTTCTCATGCATCTGCACAGTTCTCATGCCAGGACCTGCAAGCCAAGGGATCATGCAATGAAATGCCGATGTGTTTAAACATCTTCATTTAATTTTAACCAAAGCCTAAAGTATCTAGCTTCCTAAACAGAGACAGGGGTGACCACCTGGGGAAAGTGTCTCTGAACATACTGATCAGTGATTACCATTTCATAAGAATGCATATGTTCAGCTTTTGTTTGTTATTCCTTTTTAATATACTTTCTAAGTGGGAAAGGTATTTTAACAATCTTGGTTTTGTATCTGCATTTCATATTCCTCTAAAGAAACTTATGTTCTGGTACGTACATACCAACCAATTACAACAACTAACAGAAAGTTTCCTCCTTTTTTAATTTTTTAAGAAATAGCAGAAACAGATACAAAAACATAACAGCATACATGAAGCTGCAATAAAGCCATGAGAAAAAAGCTCAGAAGAAAAGCAACGTGGCTATTTGCAATAAATAAATAAATAAATGAAATTAAGATGCTGCTTCTTTGTAGGCCAACGTCTGTTTGATTTTTATAGTTTCTCCTTGTTTAAGTATGTTATTAATAGCTTTATAGAACAGTTATGAGATGCACGTTAGCTCACATAACACAAAACCACTGTATGCGTATGGGGAAATTGCTGTTCTAAGTATACCCCTGTGTGAAATAAAATTTAAATAAATAAGCAAGCAAATAAATAAAAGCTGCTCCCCTAACCCCAAAAGGAGATTATTTTCCTTTTCAAGACAAATAGTCTAATCTATATACTAAGTAAACACCTCCCTATAAACGTGTAATTCAAGTTTTTTGAGATCCACAAAAAAATTAAATGAAACAAACACAGGGAGGCACAGAATCAAATAAATGATTTAAAAGATATTTTAATACTTTTTAATTTACTACTCTTATGAGGACTAAGCTAACCTTCAGCCTCACCTGGGTCTTAATCTTTCACAAAGCAAATTTTGAAAGGCATCCTCCCCACTGTAACCTATACACAGCTTGAGGTAAATACCCAGTTGTTTACAGCATCCCTGAACCACCAATATCTGCGGTAACTTACCACCCCCAATGGTTATCTTTATAGCACTTTCAGCTCCTACCTGTCTGAGTGAACCCTGATTTGTATCCATTAGCTGATCCACCCTCTGGGGTCGTGGACGGTGACACCGAAGAATTTGGTTTAGCAGAGAGGCTAGCAGCAGATGATTGCCTGCTTCTACATTCTGCAAACGAAGCAGCTACAGTACATATTAACAAGGCTTTCCATCCAGTAGAACAGTTCGGCAACACGGTGGCGAAAGGTGACAAAATGTTAAAAGCATACAAACAGCACGTACAACAAACAGCGGCAAATGGCAGCATTCAACGAAAATACGGCTCTCGCAGTTTAGTCAACTTTGTCTTCTAATTAAGAGAATCTCCCTGGGGGCCACTCAGAGGGCCAGGCAAATACAGAGCAGATGCTGCAAAATGGCAAGAGCCCTCAGTTCGCAGCTTCCAAGAGATTTGAAGGTATTGGACATATCCCAGGAAACACTCAGCGACTTCTGTGGTGCAACCTTTATACAAACCGTCATATGTTGCCCTTTAAAAGGAGAAATTGTGCTGAAACCCAGATTCTTAGTGTGCCTCTACAAAACCCCCAGGGAGATCTCAGTGCTGTGAGTGTCTGTCTGGGTGAAAATTGAGTTGAGGCAGGAGAAAGTCACCTTAAAAAAAAAAAAATCACACATTAATCCATTTTTAAAACTGAGATCGGATTAGGTTTTGTTTGAAGAGAAGCGGCTGTTTAAAAGCTTTTCTCTTCTTCTAATTAGATCTTTACTACCAGATGGATGGTAGCTATATGGGGATAGAGCCTATCAAAATAATGCCCACAAGGTCAATACTTGGTTGATTTTCTAAACTTTCATGGGTGCTCAAAACACTTGCAATCAGCATATAACCAAAAGTGGCCCCAGTATCTGCCTCTTCCACACGTGCGTTACTCCTGACTGCATTTACCAGGGCCCACACCAACCCCAACTGCATGAGCATCAGGAAGGGGATTCAGAAAAAGGATTCCAAAAGTAAAATAAGGTTTCCTTTTTCTGTATTTGGAACTTCACGATCAAATTAAATCTTTCTGCTTTTTTGGTGAAATATGCTGCTGAAAAACACATCCAAAGCAGTAGTTAATTATACTCGTAACTGAGAAAAGCAGCTGAAGCCAGGATCCCTTTGAACCACTAACTGATACAATACTATAATCACTCATACAGCTCAGTGATAACCATCCCTTTCTGGTGTCATGCTGCTATTCACATGAGGATGTGACTCTTCAGATGTGTGTCAGTCCTGCTGTGGAGCTTCTCCTCTCCTCACATCATCCTCTTTGGAACAACAGGCACCAGATCAAACTTGGTCTTTACTGAGTAAGACCACAGCTGAGGAAGACAGGCAGTCTGCGTATACACCAGCGGAGTAGACAGCGAGTACGTAAACCATTCTCTCCTTGAGTCTTTGCATGGCTCTAGCCCAAGTGTAAAACACACCGTAAACGGCAAGAGTATGCAAGGTTTCTCCTCTTTCCCCAAGATCAGTGCCCTGAGTTTTCTTAATCTTATGGCGTGCTAGTATCCTCAGGCATTAGACAGATTGAATTGCACCTGCTAAGATGAGTATCAGCGCAAAGCCAACGCTGGAGCCCTGTCTGTGAGTCATCTTGCTTCAGGCACAGAAAAGAATCAGCAGACTGAGCAACCATCTTTCTTCTACCGAGACGGCTCCACATCCTAAGACAGGCAGATTTAGGGCTCCCACTGAAAGTATGGGAAGATGGAGGAAGACCATTTACAATTGCATGGTTACTATTAAGACTTAAATAAACCTCTTTGGCAAAATCCAGACTTCAGTGAAATCAGTGGGAATTTTTCCTTCAAGCAGTAAAGAAAGTAATCTTCTACAGTTCCTTTTGAATGCATACATTTTCAACAGCAACTTTCAATTTTTCATTCATCACACCGATAGAATAAAAAACCCCTAAGTGAATGGGCACCTTTATTACCTTTCCAGCAAATAAGGGGTCCCTTTGACAGTACACCTTGGGAGCTTCTTACTAGGTAGTACTTTAAGTGCTTCTGCTTCTTTGGCTGAGTGGTTAATTTCAGGTTGATATGATTGGAAAACTCTGTGAAGTATCGAAATCCTCTTTCTCCACAGCCTATACAATTCCCAGAAAATCCTGGAAGAATGAAGCAGAAGATACACATACAGATTAAATGACTTGTACCATCTGCTAGGAATAAGGCCATTTTAACTTGCCTGCACATCATTTCAGAGCAACTGAAGGCCTCTAGCCAGACAGCTTCTGTGGACGCCCTACACAGCACGTATGTCAGGAAAAAGCCAAACACAGGCAGATTTTATTTTTAGCTTTTCTGAAGCTCTTCCATCTTTCTATATCATGCTAAATTATGCCAGAATCCTACCACCAATTTTCCACTCTACACAGTACAGAGAGGAATAACTGCTTGGTAGGGGGAGAGCTATGATGCCAGCCTAGGAAATGTCCATAAGGAAAAAAAATATTTTTTTTCCATTTTTTTCTACATTAAAAATACATAGGTTCCAAGCTGCATGCATATCTCTCTCAAAACAGTGGTTAATCCATAGCAGCCACTGCAACTTCACGTGACGAAAATTAACCTTAGTATCTAATAAATTTTGTCTGTGACTCTTCATACAAAAACTTTTCAAGTAAGCTGGACCTTACAGCTTATTAAAGTCTTAAAAGCAATCATCTGATGTCAAGATTTTCATGGCAAAAGTTAGGAGTGCTTCAGCCTGTTTTTAAAAACCTACAACCTCTCACGAAAGTAACAGATGTAGGAACAAAGGCAGAAGACTGCTTTTCTGCAATGTTTCCAACATTGTTTCATAGAAGGGGGTGAAATTTTGAGTTGAGGGCTGAAGGACAGAGACCAGCCTGAGGCTTATAAGCACCCTTGATTTCCAGTGCCATTCACAACTATGTTAATGGGAGTGTTGCATGTAGATGGCACCAGTCTAACCTTTCCTAGACAAACCACAGCGTGCGTTCTGAAATGGAGCTGCCTTAAAATCCTTGTTGTTTGAATAAGCCCTCTATTATCTAATGCCGAACAATTCAACTCCTCTGGCTTACTTGCCACTCCACTCCTCTCTGAATCTCTTTCAACCCTTAATGAAGAAATGTTTTATATTCTTTCTGGAACATAAAAAATGATTTATAATAGTGCTGGGTGGATTAATGCCTAGTAGAAACACTTTATTTTTTTTCCCACTTACTAATCAGTTCAAGATCTGTAACAGAACCAATTTTTTATCCTCACTACTATCGTTATTTTCCACACTGCCAAGCACCTTGGAGAACATTGCTTCCTACAGTCACCTGTCAGCCAAATTCATAATTTAATGAAGAAAGATATTCAGTCTTTTTGACAAAATGCATTTTCCATAAAACTCTTACTAATTAGGCCACTGTCTTCAGCCCTACTGTGTCTCATTATCATCTTTTACCATCATGTTGCTGAGGATGCCAAGAAGTAGATTTCTTCATCCTGTTTCTCCTGGGACTGAATCAGTCCTTGCCTTCTCCTTTGCAACCCACAGGAACTATTGGTGCACCTCTACAGTTGTCAGAAACAGCCTTCAGGGTCTCACAGAGCTACCAAGCCAATTCTTTGCTCATAGGTGCCAGTTACACAGGCCTAGAGGCACTTAAACATGTAACACCAGCAATGCCAGAGCAGAGATGCGAGTCATTAGGCTCATTACCAAATGATATCAGAGATGATAGATGGATACAAGGAGGGGGGAAGGAACGCTTAACCAAGACAGACAAGTAGTACCACATTTCATCAGACTAAACACCATCTGTCTGTCTATCAGATAGTTCTTATTGATCAAGTCTTGACACTTACCCTGCTCAGTGGGGGAGAAGCTCCTCCGAGGATGGCACTATACACCAGAGTACCCCACCACCCCACCTCTCCAACCGTACCCAGCAAGGGCACATCACGCCACAGCTCCTATCGAACTCAGGCCAGTGGGATTTCTGCCTTAGGTCCAAAGGGTTACAGTGTGCAGTAGCATATTAAATGGGTTTAAGGGAGAAATAACATTAAAGCACAGAAGTACAAAACCAAGGTGTTTTCAATAGTTATGCAAAATATTGGTGGTCCGGACCAGAATTTCAGCAGTGTGGTTAAATCAGGGTATTTATGCTTTATTGAAATCTCTTCCCTGTTGAAAGGTCTTTCAGAATATACTCCAGGCAGCACAATGACTGGAGAGAGAAATGAGAGAGTAAATTCAGAACAGGCTAAAAGAGCCAAAATATATTAAATCACTTTTACTAGCCTGTTAAAATGTGTACCAGTTGTGAGCCAGGCAGGAAATCTAGGTGCACATACGTCTGTCTTCAAACACCAAGAAGCATTCTTGTATTAAAATTTTAAAGCTCATAAAATGTAATCAATTATGACTTAAACGTTTTGTTGGTTTTTTTTCCCGCTATGTACTAGATTGAGAAGTAAACTGCCTCAGAGCTCCTATTGAGAACAATGTTCCTGGTGGAGCCAAGGGCAGAAGTTGTCCCTTAATCCATGGAAAAATAGATAGCTCAGCTTCAACAGTTGCATGAGCATATTTCTTCTTAAATGAAAATGCTGTAAGCATCAGTAGAGATAAAGCGTATGTGGATAGCTTGCATTTAGAGTGCCAGGGCTGCAATTGACTTCTGCCCACACAGAAATCACCGACCTTCCATTGTGGTTAATTGTGGAATCAGGGACTTGTTTTAAAATGGGGTTTTAAGGCAGGTTCAGCTACAGATTTAATTTAATAAAAACAAGCCCCTCCTCAACATATTTCTAATAGAAGGTCATTAGCTGAAATGGCTTTAGATAATTTTGAACTGACCTTTTTCTCTGAATTATTATGGCACAAAGAAAAAAAAATCCAAAAACTCTTACCTAAAAGTGCATTTTTTCCATGATCATCTGGCAAAAACCGCTTGTCAACAGCGCAGACTAGAATGTGCTCAGGAAGGTTGGGAGATTTGGCTCCTACTAACAGGAAGCCTGCTGGGATATCAATTTGCTCCATGCACAGAGATACTAACCGTAAATCCTTGCCTGCTTGACAAAAACCTACAAAACAAACCAAAACAAATGATAAATCTCCAAAAGATTTTGTTTCATTTTCTTCTTTTTTTTATCAGTACAAAAGCAAATGGGGCCTCACAACTTGATACTGTAACTGGGGGTTTTAATACATCCTTTTCAATGGAAACAGAGGAAATGGAGATAGCATCTCATCAGATCCACTAGTTCAGGGTTTCAGAGACAAGAGATAAACATTAATTTAAAGAGTTCCTGAACACATTCAGGCAGAGAAGAGATGTATTTCTCTAAAGACCAGATATTAAATGGCTCAGAAACTCAACTTTTCAAGAACATTCAAAACTTTCCTTCAAGTTTGTGATTTTATAACAGAAAATAGCTCTTAAAACATGCCAAATAATATTTTTTCTTTGCCAAATTTTTGTTTACAGTCTTTTCAAGAGAACCAATTTTGTCTTTGTTGCTTGTAACAGGCTGGCAGTGGTACATAAACAGCACTAGGTAATACAAAGGAATGATAAAAATTTCACGACTGAAGTTTAGTATTGACTACTAAAGGAAAAACATTTTAAAATCTAATTTTTTAACTCGTTTATACATTTCAGGAATTCCAGCAAGTAAAAGATTAATTGACTGGTTTTAGAAATGTACAACATGTTTTCTTTAAGTCTCCAACTGAGTCTCTTGAAGTCTCAATGGACTGCTTGACTTCAAGTCTCCAATTCATTTTTTCCCCACCCAAATACACATATACATACAAAATAAGAACATAACACTGGTTCTTGTGCTACTTGGTCAACGTAGGGCTAAAGCCAGCAGCAGAAGTGGGCAAAACTAGGGACTGGAACGAGCTTCTGCTGTTCCACGTCCTGCGGTGAGCAGCTGGCAGGCTGGGACACACAAAAAAGCCCGTCAGGGCAGCCCAGAGCCGTGGTCAGGCACTGCAACGGGGCCCTTGGGAGCTCAGGACTCGGGATGAGCCTGGCAGCCACAGTGGGGATTTTTGAAAGGTTGGATGGGACAGTTTAGAGCAATTACAGGAGCTCTGGAGGTCTGGTCCAATCTTTTGCTCAAAGCCAAGCCAACTCCAAAGTTAGATTCTTTCGACTAAATTAACAACAACGTTCAAAGACTCTTCCATTAGCTCCAACACTGGATTTACAGGGATCAAAATCACCCATCACTTCTTTGTACAGCTCCATCATATTATTTTCATTGAGGAATTTCTGCTTTCAAGCAAGGAAATGACAGGTGTGAGAGAAAGCCACAACTGATGTGGTTTCCTCCACAGGAAAGGACACCACCACACTGGGCTTTCTGATTTCCCTTAGGCAGCAGTCAACGAAAGCACTGCCAAGTTTTATGAAGAACCAGACTTATGTTGTGTTCCCCTCCAATTCTCACTTCTCCAGCTGCAAGATCAGTGCTAAAGTCTGGCCTCACACATCTCCCAGCAGCAGCTGGTGGAAACCCACCGTATTTCAGAATATCCAAAGACATCACACATTTATCCACTGTCCCTCTCTCCTTTGCTACACCCATAGAAATATTGTAACATAGACAACATATGCATCCATCTGCGTGAATCAATATTTCAAAATAAAGAAAATCATAATCACAATAATCATTATTGTTTAAAACAAACATACCAAACTAAATTGAAATTACTGTAATATCTATTAGGACTTCAGCTATTAATGTATATTTCTTACACTTAATTTAAAATACTATTCAAGTAGTCCATAGTTGTTACAGAAATTCTAAGGGCGGGGGGGTCGGGGCAGGGAATCAAACCACTGGAGAAAGACACTAAGCATCTGGAAACACAATGTGATCACAGCTTAACCAAAAGCCACCTCAACCATTGTCAATACGTGTCTGCACTCTTACCTCCTGTGCTAAAACCCATAGTCTAAAACTTCGGCAAAAATGGTGAAAGTTAATGGGTTTTGGTTTTATCTCAAAACTGTACCAGGCAAAGAGCATTCGCAAAGCGGAATGCACAGAATCAGCAAACTTCCTGGCAAGCAGCAGCGTGCCGAAAACAGGGTCCGACGCAGGTTCAGTCTTGTGCCTACACCCTCCATCTGCTTAACCAGTTCTTGGCTGAATAGTTTCTGCAGTTACTCAATCAGCTCGGTTCCAGTAATCCAGAATGAATTCACCCCTCACACACACCTTCTTCCAGCCAGTGAAGTAAAATGAAGCACCCGAAGTTTTTACTTACAAATCAATGGATTATAACAATAACTTACCAATAAAAAGTTACCTATGTTTTAGGGGAAAGGCATTAAACCCACATATTTAAAGCAAAATTTATTCTTTTCTGATTAAATGCAATTTGATTTTAGTATCTTAAACTCTTTTTAAGGTGTATTCCTTAGAAATACATTGATCCTAATCAAACAGAAGGCTAGGTACCAGGCTAAGTATTATCTGGACTTTTCAATGTAATTAAGAAAGGAACAGTTGCAGATAAATCTAGGAACAAAACTCCCTTACATTCAAAATAGAATTTGCTTATTCACATGTTTATGCCATTTGGGTATATGTCCAGAATTTTCAAAATGGCCCTTAAATATTTAGGCATTCAGTGAAATGTGAGTAGCTGACATGCTTAGAGAATACCACTCTACATTTCGATTTAAAATGGAAAAATTACCCACTGCTGACAACGTGGGCAAACAGGACATCTGCAGATAAGGATTATGAAACAACAAGTGCGATAAGATTTCAAGACAGATTTAAACCAGTTTTTACACAATTACTCTACAGCCTTGTCTCTACCTAAAAATTTTCAGGAAATGCCCAGAAGCACAAATGGTGACCAGTAAGAGGCTTTTAAAGGAATTGTTAGCAATAGCGATACTAGGACACCAAAGAAAATAGGATTTTGGTTGTGAGTGTTGTTAACAGTCATATTTCAATATAGACTGGCTTTCAGGAAGAACACACAACATGGAGATGACTGAATATCATATGAGAAACTCAGAGCCTCTTTGGATGCCTGAGGGTTCTGACGTCCCAGCGAGGTGAAGCAACGCTCTCGCACTCCACAACATCCGAGACAAAAGCAAAGACTTGGCTATTATCCAGGCTAGGAGCAAAACAATTTCAGCTACACTTTGAGGAGCTGCACATCACCATTCCGCATGAGGCCCCAGGGGAAGAAGGTGCAGGAAAACCCTAAGAAATCCATCACAACATCTTAACAAGTTTATAAGCATTACTCGGTAACATCTTAGCAGTACCCATTGAAACAAATGGATGTATCTCAGCCTGCTATCATGGGCAACAGCAGCCTCTTACCTGAGAGACTGTCTTGACCTGAATATATCTAGGCAACAGCAGCCTCTTACCTGAGAGACTGTTGACCTGAATATATCTAATATTTCCCACCATTTAGGATATGCAGGGCTGTACTGCAGAAATGCTGCATCCTGCCTAATCTGCAAACGATACCCAAGATTTACCTCCTGTATCATCTCTTCCTCTACCCAAAGTGCTCTCAGATCCCTTCCATGTTCCCCTTCTTCCTCCTTGCACAATCTCCTCCGGCATCCTCCTCTGCTTTGGCTGGTGACATCTCTGGATCAGAGATATGTATGTGTAGAGGCCAGTACATGCCTCTCTAATGTTCAGGCTGTGCAAGAGGAATAATTACTTCTCTGCCCCAGGGGACGTTAGTCTGGGGACACCAATGTCATCCAACCAGCTCCTGAACTTCACAAATCTTGCTGAAATTCAGTACCTGTAGGATCTCTCCCTCTCTGCCAGAAGTGGCAGAAAGCAGCTACCATCATCTCAACAGACAGGCGGCAGAGCTCACAGGCAACTGCCGAAACCTCGTTTTCTGAGGGAGCGAGACAAGGAACAGGGCTGATACCAAAAGTTTTCCTCTGGGTCCCCCTTCTGTGGAGAGGAAAGGGATCCCGACGGGCGAGCAGCAAGAGTGGGCAGCACAGACAGACCCTCAGAGCTTCCGTGGGCTCTTCTCTTGGTTAGTCAATGCCTCCAACAAGAGAGCCTTGGAGGGCTGTGGGGCTTGGCCAGGTACAGCTGGGGCTCGCTCCCACCAGGAGATATGGAGAGAATGCACGTCTGCTTCTGTGCAGTAAAAGTCTCAAATTTTCCTTGAGACATGGAGATGGTATACTCAAGAGCCCTTCATTATCTTTCTTTCCCTTGGTTTTTGGGGATGCAAATCACTCTTCTAGTTTTAAGTTCCTGCTGCTTTTTAAACTGAATGAGAAAATTCCACCCAAGAAACATTGATTTGGAAGCAAGTAACTGACTGCGGGAAGAGGAAGGAGGGATTAACCCCTTTCTCTGCCACAGTGTCTTTTTCTAGCTAGCAAGCAACCTTATTTTCTTTTCTGTTTTGCATGATTTTGCATTGATATCTAATTATCTGTTAGAGATAACCATTTCCACATTAGGAAATACAAGACATGATGTCTCTGTACAAGTATAACTTGCGCTGCCCGTGTTTAAGATTTAGCATATGCAAAATACATTTACGTTTCATAGCTATTCATTTGTAATTCAGCTTGCACCTAAATTTCTACGTCAAGCAGCACTAACACATACGACTTAAGAAGAAAGAATGGCACTTTAATGTCACGTTTACCTGTGTACCTTTTACGGACATCTAAGTATGAAGAAGAGAAAACCCATGAGCCAGTAAAACAAACCAGCTTCTCTTTATGAAATTGTTCATCACCATGTAATTATAAAAGGAAAAGCACATAGCTGAGCTGTTCCAGTAAAAAAAAAAATCATCTTCCCACAGGATCTCAGCTTAGTTTTAAATAAAGAACAGGCATTTATATTCTGATTAGAGATTTGCAAATACCAAGAGCAGCCACAAAAAAGAATAATGAATAGCTTTTACAGACATTATCTGCATTTCTTTGAAAGAAAATTCATTAGTTTTTGCTTCTGAGAAGCACATTCGCATTCTCCAACATCACTTCATTTAAATTAATCCAGTCCCATCTTCCTGAAAATGAAAATGTATCCTTACAACTGTCAACACCTAGAAGTGCTGGAATCCTCTTTAAAATGAAATTTGTATATATTTTCCCTTTCCCCACCAGTAACAAGAAGTAGTTTCAATGTGGGGTACCAGCCCCTTGTTGTACTACAATAAATGAGGTATTTGCATAAGGAATTAGCTTCCAAGAATTACATATGAATGACCGGTCACTGTCACTTGCTATTGTAACTTCACAGTAACGGATCAGGTGTTAAGTACCTGTTTACCTAATTGCTTCTGAAACTACCTTGGCCCTTCTTTAAGCATCAGGTAAATTGAGGATTTACTAACAAAAGAAAGGTGCTACTATTGTGTTTCCCACAACTTGCATAAAGTGCTATTCCACAAATTAGAAATAGCCTCTTTTACAGCTACAGCAAACAAGTGGCTCAGAACAGCTTCATGTATTATTTTGTTGCATATTTGAGGTACCTGTATGAAAACAAAGAATTATTTTTCTTGAAACCTTCCTTTTATGGCAGGTGTAAGTTAGTTACAAAAGTTTGTCTTGAGCAGAAAACAAAAAAGCCCCTGAAAATAACTGAATCTCTTCTATGACTAACAGTAAGGATCAATAGCAAATGCAGTTCCTCTTTCCAATGGGCTAACAGGAGACTTAAGGATCTAACATTATGGCCAGCTGAGAAGGAACCTCCAACAAACTGTCACTTGTGAGGCACTTATTTTTTTAACCGACAAATAAAGGCATTAAGATCTACTTTCTGCACCGATGTGACTGACAAGTCATCCATCTGAACAAAAGAACATGTCACCACAGAAAGTAATAACATGATGGTTATGACATACATTCTGAATTCAGGAAAAGCAAACAGCACAAATACATTAAAAGGGAAAAAGGTTTCACCCCATTGGAGCTAAAAGGTGGGAGAGAGGTTTTCTGGCAAGCGGAGTTATGAACTGCACGTTCTAGTACTAATATTTTGCTCTTGGATAAGCAATTAAATACATGCTTAGTTTAAAGCATCCAAACATAGTGACTTCAATCTATCAGTCTATCAGTTGTTTTTAACATATTCCTAATGTTGCTTATCTTTGTAATTAAATAACTAAGATAAGGGATGTAAACAATGGCAGCGATCCTGTCTTACGTCTCTGGAAGGGCATATTCATGAGGTGAAAGATGAGCTACCACATTAATATCTTGCTGAGATACAGTGTACAGTGTGAATGTTTGGAAACCCAGGTGTTTTAAACACTTACATAAAACTGTCCTAACAGATCATTAGCAGTATTTTCAAAAATGTATTTTCCTTTCCTTTTCCTGGTACAAAAGCACTGTTCTCTTAAATCCGCTCCTTGAGAACAACACTGAAGAGTGAAACAGATTTTGTAAATTCAGAATGGTAAACTTGACAAAGAGTAACGAACAATCCCACAATTCGGCAGAGGTAACATAGGAAACTTTCTTCTAGGGTGCTTTAATCATAAAAGACTTATAGCTGAAAATCAAAACACAGAACTGCCCCTGGAAGGTCATCTTTTTCCAGGGCATACTAAAAGGCACAATATTTTATATATACATGAGCATATAGTTAAATATATAACGTAACTACAGCATAACTGGGCATAACCTTGTGACAAGCAATATGCAGCCACAGCACAGAGGTCTGCATTGCAGTGAACGCTTGAGAGCTGAGTACCTCCTTGCAGTGTCCGGTTGGGAAGGGCAGCCTTATGAAGCAATCCTGAGCAGAGGTGACAAAGGCACTGGCAAACATGGAACAGTTTGCATGTGGATGGAAGGTCTCCTCTCAAACAAAGACATAGGCATTTATCTGGAAGCTCACAACTAACATTTTTGTCTGGACGTGCAAGTGCAACAAGGAATCACCAGAATGCGTGAGTGAGACTGAGAAAGATCTCTTGATGTCATATAAAAAGTTCTTTCACAACCAAATGCACAGTGGCCTTGGAGCCAGATAAGGTTTTTAGTCCTACTCCTGTTGCTGGCAGGATGGTCCAGAACTGTGACACCAATAGTTAAAGAACACTAAATTTTTAACCTGAACACATTCACAACCATTTTATGCATCCATTACACTTCTGGAGGGCCCTGTTGGCATGACCGGCTCTTCTCCCTCCTTAGTGTTTTAATTTTTATATATTTAGAAGCTGTAAGCATAGGCCATCCCAGCTTTTGTCCTGTTAGGCAAGGAGCCTCACCAGATAGAGCTCCTTCCTCTTACCGTCCTGTTGGTTCTCCTCTGCGTCCTGCCCAGTTTAGTTCACTTTTCTTTAACAGAAGTGATCAGAACTCCTCCTGCTCTCCACAGGAGATGTGGCAGCCTTTATTGATACTTGTCCTCAGTTGAGGATATTTTCCTAGGAATACATTGTTTTATACTTTCTCCTTCTCTCCTCCTACCAATTTACAAGCCTCCAAAGGATAACAAACACACTTCTGTGTGAATAACAAATTCTCGCAACAATATTCCCCAGCTTCCCATAGTACCCAGCCTTTCTATTCGTGTTACAGGGAACTGGCAGTACATTGTTAGGGAGGGTAAACATGCTCATGTAAGCTGCACTTGAAAGAGGTAAAGGCAAAAATGTCAGCATTTGCCACTAACTACTCCCCCAAAATGTCAAAGAATTACCAGCGATTAGTGTTTACTTCTGTCACTGCATATAATCATACACTACAGTAAGATACAAAACCACTCCACAAATTACAATTTTTTTATGAACTCGGCACAAGGAAGCCCATAATTCAGAAACTTGTTGAATAAAATATCAAGAAGGGCTTTTGGACCTGGTGGGAAGGGTTGTTTTCAAGTGTTTCAGGGGGGCAAGGGGATGTTTTTAAGAGGAGGACATCTAACAAATATGAATAGATCTTCCTTCTTTAAGAAAGTTATATCTTCAGAGTAGAACAATTATGGGATAAGATGAACCAACTACATCAAGTTTACTTGGTCCAAATAGGTATATGCATAATGATCTGATCATTTCTTTAACACCTTTAAAACCAAACAAAAATAGTACCGTCAACAATTTTACTCATCTTGAACACCAATCAAGACAGCTCAGGGTAAGCAAGGGACAGCCAGCAGGCAGGTCGTGAAGGCAAAACAGACAAGCTTCCACTACCATCCCCCTTGTCTCCTTGGCAGCAGAAGGAACACCAAGGCTCTTCTCCATTTTCTCTCTCCAAGCTCTTCCTTCTGCCCATGGAAGCAACCAAATCTAACTTTGCCAATGCTTCTGAGAATAGTTTAGGGATAGACTGAGAACCAGCTGTACTGATGCCGACTTATGTAACTTCGCTGAGGACAATAAATCAATGATAATCAGAGAAAATGAGGGGCTTTCAGAAACTAACAAAGTGCCACAGCCAGCCTTAGAGACTGCTTTCAAATAATACATTTTATGTCCTGAAACAAGTCCTCTTAATCCGTCTTTTCTCAGATTTAAGGCTTTGACTATAAACTGTATTTCCAGACTTCCTAGTTTCCTACAGTTTCTAAGTGTAGAGAGTGCATTATACAGAGATTCAGTTGTAAAGATCACACGGTAAAAAAAATGGACACCAACCATCAGTAGTGCAAGACCCTTCCGGGGCAGGTTTTTGTGAATACGGGATTGGTGGACTACTTGAATCTGACATGTCTTCATCCTCCTCTTCATCTTCCATTTCATTAACAGTTTGGTTGCTAGCAAAGTCCAGGTTTCCATTTTGTGAATATCGATGTACTAACTCTTTATCCAACTCTTCTACCTTTGGCTTCACATCTGAGAAGAATAAAAAAATAAAATAAAAACTTTTCAACAGTACTTGCATCTATCTCCTTTTAAAATAACCAGCATGCCATTCTTTCTCCTTAATGAGGTCTAAGATTCAGATTTTGTGTCACAGAATGAACAGCTGTACAGTTTTTGTTTTGTTTTGTTTTTTTTTCAAATGAAACGCATCCCATCCTTTTCTTACAAAGAAAAACAACAATTGAAATGTGCCATACTTTCATGGTTACCTTCCGGCAAGAAAGGAGGCTGGTCAGGATCAAGGTACAGCTGTGAGAAGATCGGCCGTGGGACAACGCTGCTACATCTCAGAGAGGCTTCTATAGAGTTATGAAGAGCTTCTTCAAAACGGGCAGATTTTAGTTGCCCTGCATATGAATTCCCCATGATCTAAAAACACAAAGAAAATATCTGTTAAGGGGATGGGAAAGTGCATACACACACCATTTACAAATGAAGAGTAAGGTCTTATTAACGTCCATCATGACCATGATATAAAGGTAGTAAGAAACTATGCTACGAAAATAACACTTCTAACTAGTACTACATGTTCACATTTCTCTCTCAGTCTGGTAGACTGTATCCTCTTGTTTCAGCAGCAGTTTTTAGCACATTTCCAACATACTGCTTTGTGTCTTCTGTATACACAGCCTCTCAACAGCCTCACGAGCCTGCCTGGTGTATAATTTAATGGAGGGTAGATAAAAATCATTATTATTGTCTTCTGTAGGATTTTCAAGGTAGGCTACAGAAGGTTGTGTAACACAGGAAATTAAACACATCGAGTCTGGCTTCATCACTAGTTGTCTAATGCTGGTTTTACATGATTTTACTTGTCAGTATGCCATCATTTCCAGAGAAACAATACACAGAGACATCCAATAACTTGAATTTTTGCTCTTGTTAATATTAACTGAAATTACGCAGAAGGTCAGTTATCTGTCTTTTCAGGGTCTTCACCTCTTGTCTTCAATGTAACACTAGGATTTACATGTAGTCTGACCCATATAATTCAAATGATCTAATCATACTCTTACCACAAAAGATGTAAGTAAAAAAAGATAGAAATAAATAACATCCAAACCATACACAGCAAATGCTGTGAAATGTTTTTATTTTGAATTATGCTTTATACTAGTATAGTGATAATAATAATTTAAATATCTGCTTTGACAATTAATATTTATGTCTATATCAGTGATGAATTTATGAACTTTATGAAATATTCAAGTACAAACAGACCAGTAGATCATTACTTCTGCTTGGGTGACATTATACAGCCCATAGACTGTTATATTTGTGCCCCCAGCATTAAGATACATACTCTCAAATGAAAACATTTAGTAGTAGGATGACCATGGAAGGTTTTACAACAAGCTAAGGCAGATTCACTGAAACATGAATTTTTCCACTTTGTTGGATCATTATACTGTATGACATTTCCTCCAAAGAAACCGTAGTCTAACATTTTCCAATATTCTGAATAAGAGACTGCACTTTCGGAGAATTTTATTTCAACAAAGATAACTTTTCCCCAGTTAAATCAGTAGATAGAAAAGTACAAAACCTTATAATGTTATCTTTATATTTCCCTTCACTAGATGTCACCTAGCCCTACGACCAGGAAAAGACCTTGGCCAGGAAGATAAGTTGGCATTTAGAAAACCTACAATTCTACTCCTGCTTTATCACTGGGTTGCTCAAGGTCCTCAGGGCCACCTGTAAAAGGGCAATAATGATGACAGCCACTTACAGCAGCATTTGAGATCTGCTGGTATAAACAAATATCTAAGAGCTAAATGTTGCTATACTACCGGAATACATAGACATGAAGCTTATCTAATTACTCATTTCCAGTCTGGGAGAGAGGCTCAGTTCCCTGTTTAGTCAGAGACTTTATACAACTTTGAGAAAATAATTCCACATTTCTGACTTAGCCTGGCTCTTAATAAATTTTGTGGCAACAGCATTTCCCTACCCCAACCAGATACAATATAAACACAGTTTCTTAACATGACACATTCAGGTATTTCAGCAACAAAATACTTAAGACAAATAGATTCTCTTTTTCATTCTGTAAGTTTTCATTAAATTTGGAAATGGCAGGGAGCGTGTACAAACACACAACAATTACAAAGTGAGTTAGGGAAAAAGTTACGCTGAAGCAGGATTAAGGTTGCAGTACACTAAATGCTGCCAGGTGCCTTTGAACAAAGAATTGATGAAAAACAGCTAAGTGACTGAAGTCCTGGTTTTACTGAAATCAGTAACGGTATTTCCATAAATGTCAGTGAAATCACCACAAACTATTATATCATTAAATTGCATACCATGAAATTTCATTTCTGTGCTATGGAACTTTATGTCAGGTATGATGTGCATAAGGTAGGATTTCAGGAATGTATTCAAGTGAAAAGACTTCAGTTAAAATACCATAATAAAAATGAATTAACCTTTAAGAATCAGAAAATTTGCAATTCCCACAACACATCATCTGCTTGAAGTCTGTTCATACTCCACGTTTTCTACAATCTATACGTTGTGTACAATCTATGCCAACTATTTTCATTTTGATGGGAAACTTCATAAAATACAGTATGCACAGAGCAAAAATGCTGGCAAGCCAAGGCTATTTAATTTGCCTCTCTGGCATCTATACAAAGAGACTTGCCAGTGGCAATTGCCATAGATTTACCTGAGAAAGTCAGGTAATATTACCGGAGGACATTTCTAGCTTGCCAAGAGAAAACAAGATTGCAATTGGAAATGTCAAGTAAAGGAAAGCTGCGGAACCACAACGTGTGTGAGCATTGGTCTCTGCAGGATGGAAGCGGAGCCGGAGGAAGGCTTGTTGGGGATGAGCTTGTGCAAGATGGGGCAGGCGGAGGTATCCGAGGGCAGAGTGGCCGAGGGTCCTGCTGGGCTGAGGCAGGGGAAGCTGGGAGCCCTGGAGCCCAGATCCAGGGAGCCAGCACTGGGCAGCTGATTTCCTAACACTGCCCGAGGCCATTAGGGCAGCTGGGCCTCATTTGGAGTTCAAGGGAGCTGGGGGGGGGAGCAGGGGCTGGAGGAGCAGGAGGCTTTCCCTCTCTCCTGGAGAGGAGCTGGCGAGACCCTCCGACAGCGAGCTGCTGGCCAGTTTGGGTTGTGCCATCCTGATCCAGCCCTCCCAAAAGCCAGCAGCACCAATTCAAGGTATTCATGCCTTGGTGTTTCTGCTTTCGAGTCTCCTCCTAAACGCCTGGTGCAATTAGGAAACGCTTCGTTTTCCTCCTCCTAAACGGGAGGCAGCTCTCAGGGAGCGCAGCACAGCAGCAGCAGGGAAGGCAGCAGGACGTGCTCGAAACGTGCTCAGGTGTGCTGAGGGGGGGTCAGGAGGCTGCAAAGAGTCTGGAGGAAAAATAAACTGGTGGAATTTGAAGGGAAGAGGGGGAAAAAAAAAATAAAGAGCAAAACACCCATTTCTGTTACTAAGACATGTACCTGCCATATCTGCATTTAAATGTGACCAAAACCAATGATTTACTGTAACTAAATCAATGCTCATTGTTAAAAAAAGTTATCCAAATCGTAGGTCTATCCTACATTTCTATATGACACCATTTGGTAAAAATAAGACAAACACACACACAAAAATCCCTGTCGCTTTCTAGAGTGAAATTAAGTTTTCCCTAAAATTCTGCACATTTGATGAAGCATCCGTGAGCTCGGGGGGATGTGGGAAAGACGGTCCCAGGTAGAGCGCAGCTGAGACTGACACAGTGTCTGACAGAAAACGGAGCTGGACTCGACTGAGGCGCTCCTCCCTGACCTCACACACCAGTTCTTCTCCTGTCAACGCCGATACATCATGCTTACCCCCACAGCCACTGTCCTATATCCAGCCAGACTACACCAAACTAGGCGAGAGCCTCCTTGTGTGCACTAAGAGGTTTCTAATGGGCAGGAGGTTTGAATCGGGGGTAAATAATTCTTTCCATATCTACATGTGCTCTAATTGTAGCTAGCTGAGCACAGAGCTAGTTAGATTCCCAGCAACAAGCAATCTGCACACCTGTAATACAGTATTCCAACCCTCACCTTTCCTTTTACCTGTACCACTGGACACCAGTAAAATTTATAAGTTGCCTACTTCTCTTAGCTCTGTTTGAGCTCTGTTTTGGATTCGACTCTGCAGGATGTTAATATGTGCATTATGCAGAGTATATTATTATATATATAGTAAGATTTGCTGCTATACATTCTCTGCCCCCACACTGTGCCAAGAAGGTTCAGCGTGACAACAGCCACCCCCCAGGTTTCTCCCCTTTACTTTATCAACCTTGCCACTCTACTCAGACAAGTTTTATTTCATGTCCTTAAAACTTACTATAGAGAGACCAGAAGACACAATTAAAATTGAGTCATTTCAAAGCGAAATCTGCAGCAAAACATTAAATAAGAGGAGAATTTCCTGACATTCAGATCACTTGCACCTTCAGGCTCTTACCACTCTCAGGGTACTTCTCCACAAAGATCCAGAGCCTAAGGCATCATGATTACTACCCCGCACATCTCCACTGCTGCTATGCTTCTTCAAAGCAGATTTCCTAAGTCTACTTCAAGTCTTCTTGACTGGAGGATTAACTGTGAGATTCGCTGGAGTTTGAGAGCTGCCTTACAACAGAGCTGGAAGGCAGCCCTCACATCTCAATCGGAGTCCTTACAAAAACACATGAACAAGGCAATCATGAAATTCCACTAACGTGACCATGAGTTAAAAAGTATTAATGCTATAGGTTTTTAATAAGAAAATTAAATATGGGCATTCATTACAGAAAGCAAAACTACAATTACCAGGAGCTTCCATCAAAGCAGACAGAAATGGAAGTAATAAAAGCAAAATTTCAAAGATGATTGATTTTAGCACCGCATCACTTAACTGTGCAGTGAAGGACCCAGGGAAATTCTGATCATTCTTTCACCCCCAGAAGCTGAACTTACAAGAAAGTCTTGTCAATTCAAACAAATAATCTCGTCCCATGCAGTCATCTAGGTTTCAAAAGATCTGTGCAGCAACATGACACTGGATGTTCAAGAACCACCAGAGCCCAGGTCCAGCAGACTTGTAGTTTGTAAGTACAGTAAACACTGCCTAGTTTTAGTTCGAAAAATAGGTGACTATGGCCCTTCACATACCAAAAAAAAAAAAAAGGTAACCTCTGAAAGTGGATTGTTACCCAATAGCTCTCAGGAGTTAGAACTGCACATTGAGTTGAAGGCTCTGCTAGTAAAAATATAATCAGATCATTCAGTACACCAGATACCACATATTTGGCCTCCAGGTGGGTCATGACCCCAGAGACTTTAAAGGAGAGGAACTGAACTGGAGGATGAGGGAGGGGGTGAGTGTTGTTGTTATGGCTTAAAGCAATTTCACAATTACCTGATAGCGAATGATGAATCTGATGCAAACACCCTCCATTAAGTCAGCTCTATCAAGTCCTTACTTTGTGTTTAACCTAATGATGTAATTGTGTTCTCCAAAACACATAATCTGGCTTCTGATCTGGCCTAACCCCACAGGAAAGTTTCTCTTCAAAGGAAAAGAAAGCAAGTTCCTTCACAAAGGCACTGCCAGGCCCAGCACAGCTTCTGTATCTCAAAGGGTTATCTTAGGCAAAGAGAGACCAGGCATCTATTTATGCTGCAGAATTGTTTGGGAACTGGTTGTTTCAGGTACAGCTAGCATTTTCTATTATTTACGTCATTCTTATTGATGTTCTGGGAGTAGTATTTTTTCCCCATTAGAGCATCATTAGGATGTATCATGAACATGCGTACAGCAGAAAGGATGACAGTTAATAATGACAATAACAAATATATACACTAATTAAAAGTGTGGGCTTCGAAGTCAAAAGCACATACCCAGCGTTGACTGCAGCATTCAGTGGGGAAAGACTTATGTGTGAGTCAATACAAGAGTGCAAGGTGGAGTAGTCTCATTCACAGACCCCTTTCCTCATAACATTTCTAAGATCTATTTTTACCCCCACAGTCTTTTCAAGATCCTGAGATTCTCACTCTGCTTTTGTCTTAGTTAGGGATATTCAAACTCAACTGTAAAAGAGTTTACAATCTTATGCAGCAAGTGATAGATAAGCAATTCATTCACAAAGCCTTTCAGGGGAAATGAATTACTAGTTTATTTTGACTGTTTACAGTGGAGTTTCCTTTTACTTTTCATTTTATTTTGAAGAAAATATTGATAGCATCCAATACCATTTAGAATCTAGTCTTTCAGTTTGATGTTGCCACTACTGTGTCTGAGGAATGGGAAAGATTAAGAACGCTTGTTTTTTCCTGACCAGGTTCTTCCTCATATTGCTCAGTTAATCCTTGGAGTATTGCATCAGATTACCTGGGAGTTGGAGAATTCCTTGGACAGAGACAGACAAATGGATACACAACAGAGCTACATGCAGGAGGGTGGAACAGGGCAGCTGTTCCCCCACAACATGAAGCAGAAAGCAAATCACAAGTGGTGCTAACATGGAGGCTGCAATGCCCTTATGGCTCCATCCCTCCCACCCCAAGACTATCCCCACAGTCTTCAGGCACAGTTCAAGCTACCTTAGGAATCCCAATAGGTATTTGTGGGATAAATACCCACACATGGTATTTTTATAATGCCCTTTAGGTCTGGCAAAGAAAAACTTTTATCTTTACTTAAAACAGAAATGCAAAAATTCAAAAAAGTACATCCGCTTAACACTTAATAGAAGAAGAAAAAAATTTTCTATTTCTAATGTCTGCATTTGTTCTGTGATGCAATTCACCACCACTGTGATAAATTGTATATGAGGTATTTATGTATGGGAAGAAGAAAAAATGATACTAAAATACATTATTTGTTGGAGACATTAGATGTGCATCTCTACTTGTTTTTCTCCCAAAAAGTCTTAATGATGTTTACAGGCTGGACTTAATTTACCCACAACATAAACATGCTAGCAGAGGTGATCTTGATTCCCAAAGCTGCTATTATGGTTTAGTGAGTCAGTAACACAGAAAATTCACAGGTTCTATGCATTCTTGAAGGCATGCACATAAAACTTCCAGTAAATATTGACACTTAAGAAACTAGTGTCCACAACATTTTTCTGTGACTGCTGCCACAGTAGAATAAAAATCCTATGCATAAAATTCTCACTGTGGGCTAAAATCCACTTGGGGGAAAAAAAAAACCAAAACAACAAACCACCTGCTAAGTAAAGACTTTATATATAGAGAACAATTTTCTCCAGTAGATAAGAAAAAAAAACTGAATAATCCATACACTTCCATTTTACATACCTTAAGTAAATTCTAGTGTTACAAACAAAATTAAGCATTATAGCTCTAATATGTATTTCTCTAAGAAGTTTAATTATACAGTTTATGTTACATAGCCTTTAATTTAATATAGATGTAATATAGATATGTAAAATGTGATATTCCTTGTTTAAAGGGATAAAGCTGAAAATAGGCTCAAACAGACATCTCATTGAATTCCTACAGCAAAAGCCAGTCCAGTCTCGCTGATAAATAAGTCACCTTAATCCTTTCTTCATTTGTTATTGCCTTATTGCAAAAGCATGAAGCTGAAGCCTAGAAAGTCAAAGTTAAGGCCTGACCTTCCATCCCTATCCTATCTGACCGCTCCCTTGTGTACCCCTCAAACACACATGCTATCATTTCCTGATGAGTTTAGAAGGGGTTATCAGGAGAATTTCAAGACATGTGTCAGTTTTGTAGCAACCTGAATGCTATACAAACATCTTCTGTGTTTAATAGGCGATTTGTATTTTAGTAGGTTTATCCATTCCCAACTTTATTTGTTTAAAGGTGCCTTAACCTTGACATAAATCAGTGCTAAGCATCTGTATAGAGTACTTCCAAAGAGTTTAAAATTCAGCTCTTTGGAAAGCTATATTTTGCAAGCACATTTCTTTCAAAAAAAACCAAAACACAAAACCAAAACAAACCACCTACAAAACTACTTGTCAACTTCTTTGCCCTTCCCTCTCCCCTTGAAAATGATGCAATTTATTCTTTTTCACTCTTCTTATAGTGTTCTTTTAAAGATCATGATGAAACACCAGGTTTGTCACTATAAAAATGCCAGGACCGCTGGCTCCCGAGTACCTTTTTCTTCCTAATACAACACTGAGTGTTGGTGTAAGACAGTAGGGCCAAAGAGTCGGAGGCCCTGGGTTGTGCCTGGCAGCAACCCCCCCTTCCAAAGGAAAACAAGGAGGACTGAACCTTTTCTGCCACATGCCCGGTCCTTCCCCCACCACCTCTCTGGTGAGGACAGCCATTATTACATTTCCTTTCGGGTTATTTACAAAGTCTTGGCTCTGACATTGATTTCTTATCTGTTTCTATGACAAATGTTAAGTGTTAATAAGCTGTCACTTTAAAGAAAGATAATGCTAAACGAATTATAGGAATTAATTACTCAGAAGCTATTCTTTTTTTTTTTTTTTTGTGAGCATTGAAACAAGAACAGCAAGAATTGCTCAAGAGCAGAAAAAAATCCACAGATTTTTCAACCAATTAGCAAGTGTTAGCAGATTAAAAGAAGTTATAGTTTAAACTAGGCAGTATCCTGATAATCTAAAGTGAATTTGTCAGAGGATATAGAATAACCAGGCAGGCGCAGCTCCCTAAGGAACAAAGTCTTTCCATTTATATGCGAAGGTTTTTACTTTTTTCAAGTATTTTGCTCATGGTATAAATTTTAGGCTCAAAAGTGAAAGTTCAGAAATCTTTTCAGTTACAGAACCATTAAAATGATAAACATTTGGGATCCCAAAGTACACCTCTACTCTAACTGTCCTTTCAGACCTGCACTGACTGCACTATAATAGCTGCCAACATTTGGTAAGGATTAGCCTTTCATTTAGACAAAAGCAAGCATTCCTTAGCTAAATCAGCACTTTTTGCCATCAGACTCATAAAACCTTTTCACAACACAGATTTTCAAGAGAATCCTTTAGGGTTTTAGGATGCTGCTCCTTTTACTAAGTAACAAAATACACCCCAGGGTGTCTCATTGACCGCACTCAGCTGTCCTCTGACCTCCGCAATTGTTTAGCCTAACTTCAGGGCCACAGAATCTGCCTCGCCCCCCCCATCAAAAAGGCTAATGTTGCTTCCTCCTAGCACCTGGCCAAGCAAAATCCTAGAGGTTCCCCCCACCTCTTCCAGACTTCGACCATGTTCCAGATGTTGCCAAGCAAAATGTTCCTGCAGGCAGGTTTTGGGAACCTGCAAGCGCCGCTCAGAACCTGGGCTGTGGCCATGACCCCCTTGCTCTGCTCAGCGCTGCCCTTGCCCCAGGGATACAACAGGTCATAAAGCAGGAATAGATCTTCAGCCTTCTGGGTACACTGGCTATTTAAATGCAACAAGAAACTATGCGAGCCCAATATTGTATACTGAGACAGGCCTCCTCCCTTTAAGAAGTCAGAAAAAAAGATGTGTGAGAATCTCAGTTGGAAGCACAAATCTTTCCCAGTCATTACAAAGATCTGCATTCTTCTTACCATTTGTTTTAAGCCCTTTGAGAGGACAAACAAACAAACAAACATCCACCCTCCAAGTGCAGAAAACATATATTTAGCTACTTGCTTAGGTATTTGTAGTGCTTCTAAGTAAAACAGCAGAAGAAAACTGTTACTGCTTCAAGAAAACTGTCATTAAATAATGTTGACCTCATTGTGGATATGTAAGAAAAAAAATAGAAGCACAAATCAACCCTCTTTGGTGAAGGATGTCCAATTATATGAACTGGATTTCAAAACTTTTTAAGAACTTAGACCTTGTACATGCTTGAAGCAAAAATAAAATCATTATTTACAGTCTACACTGTTCCTAAAAAGCAGTCAATGAAAATGAAAGCACAGATGCTGAACACAAACATACAATGTATTGTCAATAAAGCAAGGCAAGTACGGTACCTTCTCAGATTCCTTTTAACCTATTTGAAATGCAGTCATGATTAAAGGATGCAGCTAAGAGTTTGTGAAGCCTTGCTGCGTAGTTGTTTAAAACTTCTGAACACCTGAAAAATAAGAAGGGAGAGAAAAAATTTGAATGACTTGTGCCAGCATATAGTTTATAACAAGCCAACAAAGCCTGCCTATCTAAACCTGGTCTAGGGCAAAAGCTGGGGTGAGGGAAGGAGGGCTGACCACTTAAAGCATCTTTTTTTTTTTTTTAATAGGAATACGTGGTTGAAGCTGCATGGCTGCTTCTCTGAATTTTACCAGAGGTAAAGTACAAGTTTGTCACAGAGTCTGCATATTTTTGGCACTCAAGTTGCTATATGAAATATTAGGAACTTAGCACATCACTATGAGAAAATTAACTGTCACAGAAACATAAAAAATAGATTATAACGTAGAAGCAATTATTTTACTATTGGTTTAAAAAGAAACAAACTGAATGGGTGAGTGGTTATCTACGCTAAACTGGGAGATCAAGAAATCAGAATTAGCTGGTTGCTCTCCTATCTGACATCCCATAAAGGTATTTAAGTGAAAACATTTCTAATAGAAATTGCAGTTTATAAAAGAGAATACACCCAAAATACCACCAAGAATGGCAACAATGGTGTAGCAAGCAGCAGGCAGAAGAGAAAGTCCTAAAATACCTAGGGCTATACAGAATAGTATTAACATCAGGAAAGCTTTAAATTAAGTTATCATTGACTGGACTTCGACAAGACTTTCTTAGGCACACAAGCTGGTTTGGTTTCTCAATAGAAATGGACTATATTTTGCCAAAAGATTTAAAGGAATTTCCCCTGTTGCTCACAAATGAGATTTTAGGCTTAAAGCTGGGACCACAGCCTTGGGCCTGCTGTCAAAACCAGAATGGACGTGACTCTTCCAGCTGTACACCTAGAATTCAAAACCCAGGTTTTAAAATTAAAAGCAATATAGCTTTAAGCTTCCTTGTCCCATTTTTAAAAATCAGCCTAATTACGGGAGCAGCTATAACCCTCACCTCTCACTCAGGAAAGGTTTTAGGCAGCATTACTGTGTTCTGAGGAAAGACATTAAACAACTCTATTGCCAGGGACCGGCGATGCTACCCTACGCTGTGCATCCCCACCATGCTAAGAGCGAATCCATTGCAGATGGCCAACGAGGTGAACACACACAGCTCCCCACCAAACTGTAGGGCTCTGTACAGACTCCAATGATTGCAGAATGTCAGTAATCCAATTCCAACAGCTCCTGGCTCTGAAATTGCTATTTTTCAGACACGTGCTGAACATTTCACCTGCTAGTAATGACATTTTTGTATTTTCTTCTAATTACACTCAAAGCTAAGACCTTTGGCCCTAGGCCACAGACCTCTATTCAGGCTGCACACATTCTCTTAAAAGCCCTGATCCTTTGTTGTCACTCTCGGTCTTTCATCTATTATTTACATCCATTGAGAAGAGAGATACTCTACCATTTGTGAAGCTTTAAAGCTTCTAATCATCTTAATTTCTTCGCCTTTCAACCAGTGCTTCCCCTTATGGACCAATGCCAATAGTGTGACAAAATAATTTTTCAAGCCAAGATCCTCCTGGACCCTTCCCAAACCTTGACACACACTGGGCTGTAAGTGCCTTTTGTCCTTAGCCGGCTGCTTTTGCAAACACAGACCTTTGCTCAGCTTGGTGGGGGGTATGGATTTGCCTGTCAGTGGCTTGGGGGGAGTTTTCTTGGGGTTTATGTTTCGGGTTTTTACATCACTTTCTTTCTGTCAAAATGTCTAACTCAATTAGTCCAGCTAAATCAGAGATACTGTAGTGAATCTTCCTTCCTTTAAAAACATTAAGTACTTTCCGAAATACAAACGGCTACGAATTTTAAGTTTACTGTTTTTTCCAAAAGCTAAACTGCCAATGATAGGCTGGTTTGGTTTTATACTGTTATGTGCCCGCTCAGTACTGACAGATTCTTGCACAATATTTTAAGACACACAAAATATCACTGACCCTTTTTCCGATTATTGGCAGCATCCATTTGTCCTAACCTTACAATACAATGGAATAGAAACCCAGTCTCTTCATCTGAAGCTCAGATCATCTCCTTCTGATCCTCCCTTATTTGCAAATGAAGTAGGAAACAAATCAGCAGCATTTTTGTCAAGATGCGGAAGATCTCTTCAGAATTCATCAGCCACCAATCTTTGTTTCCAAGACCTGTGGATCTGCTAACATGTGATCCATCTTGGCTCTTTCTTCCACTGCCGCCTGGCTTACTTTTGATTTCTAACAGTGCTTCCTTGTTGTCTGTCCCCTCTGAAAACCCCCAACCCCCTTGTCCTTTCTTATTTTCACCATTTGCTTCAACCAGCAGTTCACTTGAGACTCATCCATCTTACAATGCCTAAAGTGACAGATGCTCTCAGGAATGACCATACTGCTGAGTGAACAAAAGATAACATCACCTCTAGGAACTCAGGGAGAAATACAACTTCAACCCTAAGACACAGTTATCCTGACGGACACAGCACCATAAACGTCTCTTCAAGACAAAAAAAAAAAAAAAAAACCCACAAGAAAAAAAAAACAACCACAATTGTGGAGAAAAGGAATCTGACACAATTAAAGACCAAAATAAGTATTCTTTGTTGTAGCTGTAGTTAGTGTCTTTTTCTTTTTTTTTTTTTTTTACCTAATAACCTCATGGAAGAATTTGTAGAATTTACCTGTGATAAAAATCAAGAAGCACAGAGAGAGTGGAGAAATTTTGCACAAAAACTGCCTCAGGATCCCTACAGACTTGAATGGAGGAAGAAGGCACTTGGGAACAGTTGCAGCAGCATCTCACACAAGTCCCTCACCAAAACACAATCATTACCGTGGTAAAATCTACACATCCTACAGAGCAGCAGTTGCTCAGTTGAATTCTACAGGAATTCAGAATTGTCATGCAAGGCTGCGCCTTTGACGAATACATACTGTAACTGGAATAAGGTTATTTTAATGTTGCAGTTGCTTGATAAATCTGTAATTTGCAAGTAACAGTCCCCCAGTGTTTTGATATTTGAGCACAAACCATTTAGAAAAAAATTTTGAATTAGAATGACAAATTTTCCAGCCAACATCCACACAGCCTTCTACAGAATGATGTCTGTTTCTAAAGGAAGATCTGCACTCTTTGCCTAGTAAGACAGAAGCAAAAACTGGTGACTTGAAATACACCCCAAATTCTCTATCCAGTCAGTGGAACGGACTCGTTGAAGAGAGGGGAGTCCTGTGTGGTGCTAGAAATCTCTTACTTAACAAAGGAACGGTCATATTAGCATCTCCCAGTGACATACTCGCAAAAGCGATGCCACAAATGCTGGGAATCCCTTCTCCGCAGTGAGATGCAAAGAATTCCCTTCTCGCTCAGCAAAGCTTTAAACAGCATCTCACGTTCAGTTTTCAAACGCTACAGGAAACAACCATCATTACAGTACATGAGACTGACAGCATGTGAGTTTAATGGACATAAAAGCTAGAGCTGTAAAACGAAGACCAAGGTAGGGGGCCTATTAACCAAATGTCTTCTGCTCAGTGTAAAGTCAGGGGAAAATCACAATATGCACTTCTTTAGCCTTATTTATTAATTGTATTTAGCCATAGTCAACAATTTGTGATGAGTTGCAATTTTAGGTCCCTATCCTGATCCAGAATTTTTCTACTGTGGTCTCATAGCATGGTCAACATTAAACCACCAGACTGTAAATACAGAAGGTATAAATACACCATTTTTAAATGTAGGCGATTTTCCCATAGTATGCCATGCAGTACCATTTTGGACATCCAATATATGGAAATTTAACTAACAACCAGTCAAGTTTGGTCGTTCCTAAAGAGGATCCCAACTCTTGATCCCACATCACCTTTAGAATTCCTCTCCCATTCTGAGCCACCAAGTGATCTGGCACTGAAATCTTTGATAAAACCCCGTTCAATTGGGGAAAACACTTACATGTAGGAAACTCTAGAGAAGGCAATTATTGGTACGTGACTGAAAGAGCTGTATGCAAGGCTCTGCTTTCCACCTCACATCCCAGTCTGTTCAGATCACATCACTCTGGAACCCCGGTCCTCAGCAAGTGGCAGGGTTCAAGGCATGCCGCAACTACCAAGAAGAAAAGCAATAAGAAAACCAAGTTTGGGAGGTTTACAGGCACATTCTGCCACAGTATCTGAACCCAATTTTTGCCAGTGACTCTATTGTACCTTGAGTGTCACCATGTCCGGGATATCTTTCTGAAGCTCCTTCCAACCCCATCAAATCAAAGCAGCAAATAACAAAGTCTGCAGTTAACATCCTCACAGGAAAAATCTTGAAAATAGATAATGCTTTCATCTGAAATACTTGAAGATCTTGGCATCAGATATGGTTCAAAAAGTAGTAAACCATATCCTGCCTTTTCAGATCTATACTCGGCACTCAAACGGGCATCTTATCATACAGGCAATCCTTACAAGTTCTCTCTCTAAATATTTATCACAGTAGAGAGAAGTGTTTATAGTTAATATGCAATCCATCTTCTGCATGCTGCTGCTTTTAAAGAAGACAAAGTGTGAGGTAAAAGGTCAAAACTACTAGAAAGAGCCCTGAATAAAAACTCTGATGTTACAACCATTTTGCTAGAAGAGACAAGGTGTAAAATAGGTTCTTGGAGTCGAACTCCCCATGCAACAGGGCAGCCCAAGGGTACTGATCCAAACAGTGGTGGATAGTAACACAACTGTTGGTGTTAATCTGTTTAGTAACACCAGACTCCTTTGAAAATCTCTTATGTAATGAAAGCAACATTTTTCAATTGAAATTGAACACTTTTACACACATTTATGTAAAATCAGTTCTCATTCAATGCAATTTTAACATGGAATAACTGTAATATTGATATTAAACTCACAGGTAACTTCTGTCATTACCATTAAGTTATTGACACTGAAACATGACCTTGAAATGACAGCTCCATTAATGCAAGTCTTACCAGGGAAGGTTTCAAAAAGCCCCGATTAA